TCGACCCCAAAAAAAAAAAACGAAAAAAATGGGGTTGATGAAAAGTGACGTCACAAGTTGAAGTGGGGACAATGCATAGTCACGGGACACGAAAGCAAGCCGAAAAAGCAAGCTGAAATATCCTGAAGGCCAAGGCAAGCCGAGAAACAAGCTGAGAGATATCCGGATCACAAGCTAAGCAGGCAAGCTGAGAGAAATGTGGCAAGCCAAGCCAAGCCAAGCTGAGAGAGAAAAGAGAGACACAAGCAAGCAAGCAAGCGGGTTGTGGCTATGGTTTTTATTGACTCCATAGAAATTTCAAAGCACAAAAGAAGAAACAATAAAGAACTAAAACAACAATTTTTTCATTAATATCAAACTGAATTCTCTGTGCTACAGAAAACATGAATTATTGTGGTGAAAGCAAACAGGAAACAGTGAAAGTTTCATTAAGTAACTTAGCAAGAAGAAGTAAATTTCACTCGCATAGCAACGTTAGTTATTAGTATGACATTTCAGACGACAACAAAGTACATGAACCATGATGATTTGTTTCAGAAAATTCTACCCGTTTGTAAGTAATTTTGAGAATTACATCATGGTTCTGATAGCTTATTTATTTATAACTCATCAGCATTCTCTTGCAAACACCAAACTTTTGTTTTCGCGTAGATGGGTTTTGTGTTAAACGAAAGTTTTATGACCATACCATATCGTATGTATCCAACATAGATATATGTATATGAAAATATATCAGCACCCCGACAGATGAGTTATGCTTCTTTCACGACCAAAACGACTTTGATATATCAGGATTTGTATCAGTTTTCACAATTTTGAATTTATTATACTCGGCTACTATTACTGGAGTGGGCAAAATGTATTGATATTTAATGCCGCAGCAATATTTCATAAATATTCATTGAATAAAATAATTTTTATGGGTTTTGGAACACATTAGAGATAAGAGAGAATATTCTTTATAGCGCAGCGACTCTCATCGTGATTTTGTCTATGTCAGCAAACTTTCGATGAGAAGTTGAAGACTTAATCAACTTATTAATTAAATAATTAAATGATAATTGTGAGATAGAATTACTTTCCTAATTTTTCTTAATATGTATGTTAAGTAGCTTCTCCAAGGGCTTACAAAGCTATGCATCGTTTTTTTTTATGGTCTGGTATAATCATGAACTAATTTTTGGCAAACAGATAAATATTTATTTGTTAATCACAAAACGACCAACCTAAGGGAATATTTATCCTTAATTCAAACGTTCTTTTGTATTCTTCATATTCGGATGAATAAGTTTGTTTGTCATAATATCTTTCATTAGCGTTTTTTTCACAAATACACAAAGGATTATTTATACTGGAACAAAGATAAAAGCACAAAAGGCGTAGAAATTGACCCTCAATGAACGATTTCCAAATTATAACATGCCGAAGAATGGAAAATCATGTTGGCAAGAGAGTAGAGAATAACAGACGAGATAACAAAATTTATGTTCAGCAAAATTCGCTCGAACACTTCGTATCTTTCGTTGTGCAAGGAATGAAAGAAAAAAGGGCAAGAAAATGTTTAGAGAAAAGAAAGCCTTTAAGAGTGAGAATGTACATAACTTGCGTACGTAAACAATTCTCGCACCCAAGAGTATCTAAGTTAACGTAATTTAACAAAAGCATGAACTTCACAAAACAATAAGACTACGTATTTCTCGCATTACGAGACCGACAATTTTGCCTGTTCTTTCTCTCATGTTTCATTAGACAAGTTGTGAAGTTGCTTCCGTATTCATTGAACTAGAGACATCTTGTTATTGTTACTAACTAGTTTGGGACCGGCGATGAAAATTTTTCCGTCTTTCCGTCTGAAAATGTATATATTTAGATGTTTTATTTTTTATTCATTTCTCTTCCTCGTACTCCATGAGACCAATTAAATCAACTGATTGTGACCCCTCAATTGCCTTGTTAACAAATGGTTTTATGATCGGGTTAAAAAGTGCTGGTCACTGACGTATACGTCTACGATATTGTGAACTTACAAAAAAGCAGAAAAAAAGGATACGCTTTCGTGAATGGACTGACAATTTCCTTTTTTTATGATGTTGTTGTTGTTGAAGAAAGAAAAGCAAATCAATTACGACGAGCTTTAACAAAATAAACAAGCAAAAAAATGTGATTCAAGTATAGAGAAGGATTCATCACGTACAAGATGAGTCACGTAGTACTTTAATCTAGATATGGAAAGTCGAATACTTTGCTTCAATTCATAACATCACACATTTTGTGTGTAGCGTTTAACTTTCACAATCGATTTTAACTTACAATTGTTCATATAATTTAAGAACTTTCGACAGAGTATAAGCGAGTTTTTGTGTTAATCATCAAGTTTCAAACTTCTCCAAAGAGTTTTCGATCTTGATGAAAGGTTTGGTTGTTGACTGAATCAAGTACTTAGATACCTGAGAATGAAACTTTTATAATCGGAAAAGAAAAGAATGGACAAGCACCCTAAACCAACATTTTGCTTCATCAATTTCAGGAATGGTTGGGATTATTAAGCTCAAGTTTTGCTGCAGTGTTACTACTGAGTTCATCAACACTCGTTGCTATTGTTTTGATAATTCAATCAGAATTGGAAATTGAGTCATCGGCTATTTTCACTATGGCATCAAAGATTCCAACCACAATTCAAAAATCTCCCATGAAGAAAGGATCAATTAAAACTAACACCACAACGACAACAAACCCATCATCAGAAAGCTCTCAGACGGTGACTGAAACATCCGAACACAACCATTCACCTTCAGATTCAATCAGGAAACAAGAGAAAGCCGTAATGAAATTTTCAGAGCTATCATCAACAAATCGTGGAGTCAAGAGTGCCATTTGTCTCAGTTGGTTGCTTCCAATACTATGTGCAATGTGCATTCCGATGGTCTATCAAATCATTGGACACCGATTAAACGACTGGTGGCTTGCATATTCATCTCCAGATTTTATAATTTTTACAATCATCGAATCACTTCTTCTCTTCCTTTTCATACTACTCTTCGTCACGCTTATGAAACATCTCATTTATTTGTCGAGAAAATATGAAAAAGTTAAATTGACATTAAAGAAACGGTGAGTGAAAGTTCTTACGATATTCATTTATTTTTTATAACAGGACTGAAATTTTAATTTGAAAATTTTATATTATCTAAAATATTTTTTTAATAGTGAAAACCACAAAAGTGTTCATAGAAAACTAATTAATTCACTTTTATTTCCAGAATCGGACTTCTCAACCGAATTGCATTGTTGTATGCTATCAATTTCCTTTCCCACATGTTTTATCTCATATATCTCAATAGGGGTGGAAACATTTTCAGTTATTTGTTCAGCATAACATCAATTTTGTTGGTAAGAGAAATTAAAAAGAACAATTTTCAATTTTCAATTAAAAGAAAATGGAAATGAATGTCAGGCTTGGGAGTTAAGTTTTTCTGTTCGTGAGTCGCGTTGTTGAAATGATTTATAAGAAAACAAAATTCCGTAAAAAAGACAACATTTATTACTTATTGACAGTCTCTGCATAAAACTGAATTAATTTCTTATTCTATTTCTAAAATAGAAAACTGGTTTGAGAAGACTTACATAGTTCCTTTGAATTATTACCGTAAATTCGATTGCCCCTTAGAATTGTCCATAAGGAAGCGAAAAGTTTTCCTTAGAAAATAAGATAAGCAGGGTGGATTTAACAAAAAAAAATGTAGAAGAGATGCCCGAAAAAATTAATTTCACCTATTCAAGTTTGGGTCTTATAAAAAACTCTCGGTTTAGGTTTTCTCTTTAACTTTTCATTTTATGTTTGGTAGATATTTGAGTTGAACATTGGATGAAATGAAATAAAATAAAAAGCTGTTTTTCATTTTTTTTATTCTACACACGTTTCAATAATTTTGCGTCAAACATTTTTTCACATAAGGACTTTTTCTCTTATGCGGTTTTTCTTTGCTATGAAACTTTGAAAAGTTCATAAAGTTAGAAGTTCTTCCAACCACAAGCTATAAACTTCCAAGTTAAGGAAAACTTGGTTTTCTCTCATTTTTTTGTCTCAAATTTATCGAATATTGCATGGAGAAATCACAAATTATTTGCAGGAAAATTCCTCTGATAAGCTTTTTTTAATAAAGTTCATTATAATTGAGTTTGTGCGATAAAATATGAAAAATAAATTCAAATTGTCTTCCCTTCTTTATTTTCTTCCCCATCAAAATATTATTTCATTCGCTTCAGATCAGATGCTCATAAATTTTAACGCTTAAATGAACACTTGATAGATACCATCAACATTTTGCTTTCGATCGTCCTCGTTAAGAATATGAGAAAGCTTGCAGTTATAAATAAATGATGCAAAAAACTTTAATTGGAAGCATAAAATTTTGCGACAAATTCATCTAGAAATTTTACTGCATAATTTATAATTAATAATTTACCAAACTAGACTAATGCTAATGATGATTGCTGACATTATTTTTCATTCTTCTTCTTTTATTCAATAGGGTTTAATGATAATACTCTGTTTTATTATAAAAGTTGAGAACTATGCTGTAGGAGAGACAACAAGTAGCAGTAACAAATCGAGTGTGAAAAATAGCCTCGATGATTTCTGTACTACGACAACGATAAACAATTCATTAAACTGTGAGAATCTCTTATTAATAAGTTTAAATGTTTCTCCATTCATATTATCATAAATATTTTCTTTGAAACTTTTCACATGATGTACATAAATGTGTGTACTTACATAAATACTCCTGTACCAATAGAAGAAAAAGTTTTTCAACGACCTTCATCAATGATGATGGCGACGTAAATTTTCAAATTCATTTACATAATTCTCGCTTTATTCAATTTTACAGTTTATTCGAGCCAGGACATGGAAAAAGATAACAAAAGTTTGACGATGAAAGTTTTTTCAAACACAATATCTAGCTTTCCAATCGACACAAAAACTTCCAAAGCCACCACAAGCTTACTTTCCTGTTCGCAAAAACAATCAACCATTCGACATACTTCTCATCCTCGATTAGCTGATGTACAAATCTGCACTAATGAAATAATTGATTTAACAAAATCCGGGACTGGGAAAGAAATCCCAGTGAATCTAAATGCGCAGGCACGTTCTTATGAGCTTAAAAACATTAATATGATGAGCATTTATGATACTGCCCATAGTTCTGCTACTATGCCTGCTGGCTTTTCAACCGAAAAAATGAACTCGACAAAATGCTTAGACATTCTTCAAGGAATATCAAAAGGTAATAAAAAATGATTGTTTTTCTTTACATTTTGGAAAGAATATTGAAAAATGTTTTCCTTCATTTCATCACCAGACAGCATCGTTGGGATTCGTGATAACAATCTGGAGGTGAAAAAGCAGGAAATTTTTCAAACACCAACAGTCATCATAACATTAACAAACAGTGATGGTAAACATTATTGCGATAATTTAATCAATAATAACACTGAAGATGCTGATGGTGTGTTGAATTTAATTTCTAATGATTTGGACTACCTTCTTAATCGAACTCAAGAAGTGCCTACAATCTCAGCCTCGACAGATAACCATCACATTCAGAACCAACTGCCAACTAACACACCACCACCGCCAGTTGCGTTTGCAAATCAAATAAAATCTCCAGTATTGCTATTAAAGCACGATGTGATAATGGAAGAGTCTGAGCATGAAATAGATAGTTAATGAAAACCTTTTCACATTTCTGCCAACAAAAAGAAATTTTAATTTAATGTGAAGAAAAAGAAATTTATCCAAATAAGGAGTAGAGAAGAAAAGAAAACGAGGAAATACTTAGTTAGCAAAAGTTTTAAGGGGAAACGCTTTCGGTTTTAAAGCTTTAATTAAAAATAAAATATTCCATGTTTTTCTTTTATTTTAACTTAATACCAGAATTAGTTTAAATATTTAGTTGAACGTTTCATGGAATAAATAAATTCTACCTCATGTTTCAAAAAAATATATCTATATGTACACATAAGCATAAAAGCATAATATTAAACTTCAGAGCAATAACCTACATTTTTTATTTTCGCTTAATTGTTTACCGTCATTTCTGTTTGTTCTGTGCATTTTTTCATATAAAAAAGGAGTTTTATCACATGTTTTGGAATTGCATTTTATCACATATTTTCTGTTAAAATGCTAGTCTCGCTTAACCCAGTTTTACAACATGTGCTCAATTTTCATATCCTATTTGAGTTTTATTTTAAGAGGGAATTGTTAAAGGTAATCCAAAGGCGGAAGCAATTGAAATAGAGATTTCTACAAATGTTAAATATTTGCTGCATACAGGAAAACTTTTAATTTATTTTGTATCAAAAATTTCTTCATAGTTACATATTGAAAAATGGAAATACTTAATATATTTACATAATACTTAAAGTTCATATCCATCCACAGCATGTAATGGATTTATTGTGAAATCACTGAGTGACATACCTAAAATTAATAATTAAATTAAATAAATTCGATCATTGATAAAGGTGCTTAAATTCATTTAAGGATTTTCACAAATGAACTCATTATCTAAATATATGTAAATCAGTCCTTTCAAAGAAGAGACGGCTGTTTTACAATGAATGTTAGATCAAAATGTAAACAACTGAAAGAAATTAGCAAGTATTTATTTATCATTCTTAAGCGTCAGATTTTACCTCCAGGTCATTGAATTGATTTACTTAAGATAGGAAAATATAGCAGGAAAATCAAATGGATGGAAAAAATATTTATTGTAAATAAACAAGAGAAAACAGCAGCCCGAAGCAAACCCCGGAGAAAGGAAAAAAAATTAATAAAAATAAATAAAATAAAATTCCGTGCTGTTGTTTAATAAGCCGAAAAAATATAGCTAGGGACATGGAAAAAGAGCTTTTGAAAACCGCAGAGTTTTTCAGGCTTCAGCTTCAAAGAAACTTGGAAACGATGTGAAAAACCATCAAAGCAAAAAAGAAAACCCAATACAATTCCTTGCTTCTTCGAGTGTAAAAAGTTCTCAACTTTCATCGGGTGATTTAAGTCCGTGCACTAATTTTTCTTATTTTCAGATTATATTTCTCTTCACCAAGCTATTATTCCTTATGACAATATATATTTGATTCAACAGCTGTCCAAACAATAATGTGAAATTAGCTTTTTCCATTTTTCTGAAAGAAAAGATTAATAAATCTCAGTTCGTTCTTGAACTTTTATGTTTTTTGTACGAAACATTTTCCCTTTCAACACCGCATCATTAGTCAATGAGTATAATTCTAACTTTGACGAGTCTCAAGTGGATTTGAAACAGCTCATAATATTTATCTCAAGTTTCTTCAACATGTTCTCGAATGAAATTAATCTGTCGACGTTTTTCGTATGATATTTCCCAACATTTTCCTTTCACAACTCTGATAAGTTGAAAATTTTATGTTTCAAGATGCAGCTTGGAGATAGCGAATGAAACGATTCAATTTCAAATGAAACAAATAATTCTAGAAAAATGTTTTAATGAAACAAAATGTCTGATAGAAATTTTCAGAATATATTTAAGTCATAATAACTTTTCATAGATGGATAATTCAATTTTTGAAAATATGTACAGATAAACCCCGATAGCGTAAGGAAAAACATTTGAATAATTTTATGTAATAAAGCTTTGTTTTATTAATTAATTGATACATTAAATTAAACCACATTTTATCGATTTAATGTTTTGTTTGAAATTATATTATTAATGCATTTAAATTATCTTTCCCATAATTTTCATTTTTATTTGTGTTTAAAGTTTAAATATCATGTAACTAATTAATAATTTTGCTTGATTTTTATTCATTATGTTGACGTTTTAAGAGGTGGTCTGATGTGTAGATAACATTTCCACTGCTTTTGTAAACAGGCATTTAATGTTTTGCTTAAAATAATAATAAATAAAAAAGAAGAAACATTTTCTAGCAGAATAAATCAAAATGTAACATCTATTTATGTTTAAAGTTGTTATTGTTTCTCTGATTAGAGTATCATGTTTTCTGAGTGTTTATTCAACATATCTAATACTTTGTTGAATTGATAGAAAAATCATTAAATCGCATCATAAAAATATTTCATTTCGCTATGGATATTATTGCACAAAAATATTACGTAAATTTTTATGTATTACGACATTGTTTTATTGCAGGATTTATTTTCCCTTAGTCGTCGAAAAATAGTTTAGCTCTGAAAACTGCTTAAATATCATTTCCAGATTAAAACTTAAATTTATGTTCAGAGAAGATAAGCATTTCAATGAATAATTATTAATTGGTTTTCTTTCTTGGTTGTTGAAAAGGAGTTTGCTTGTATGAAGAAAAGGGAAGAATGTTTAGCAAATATTTTTCCCACGCACTATTAAAACCTTCACTAAATATGCAGAGAAATGATTTATGAAGCAAAAATTGGATTGGTTAATTTGAATTTAATAATTACTTAACGCATTTATTACACAGATAATTTATCTGCAATTATCGTTAGGTTTTATTAGGTTTTATGTTTTTCAATGGCTTATAAAGTTACAGATGAATAATCGCAATTATAAGGACGTTTTTTGATTCAATTGTGTTATTTTTCAATTTATATTATATTTAGGACAAGAGAACAAAAATGTTTAAATCAGGTAAGATTAAGGTGACATGCCATTTCAACTCTTGACCCAAATGCTGCCCTTTTACATTTTCCAATTTAATTTCAAAAAGTTTCAAAGCGACAACATACAAAATCTGAATTATCTAGATAAATAGAAAGAGGCTACAAACATTTCTATGATCTTACTTTTTTGATAAGAATATTCTTCATTTGATATATAGTAACACTGACTAAGAGTGAAAGAAAATTATTGATTGATGGACAAACATCCGTAACTTGGTGAAGATCTTCAGAAGAAGTTTCACCTTCTACTTATTATTATTATTACATTTTTTGGAGTCAACGGATCTGATTTGTTGACAAACAATTTCATTATGCTCTTTTTAAAGACATTTGTAGTTTTCAAAACGATCAATAATCAATCTTTCTCATCATCCTTATGTTGTATTTAGATCTTCCACTCTGAGCCAATGTAAACATTCTCAAATATTTGAAACAAGCAGGCATTTATGCCGTAGAAAATAGAAATAGTAGATAAACAATTTCAAGAGACTCAATAAATTGAAACTTTTCCGTTTATTTCTGTTACAAATACGCATTGCACCAGACTTCAACATTTCTTGCGATAAAATTTAAAAGAAAAAAAATTAAATTTGCAAAAAGAGGCTGAGATTAAAATTACTCAATGTCGTCAATAAGATGATGCGAAAATTTGCTGAATGCATTAATGATTTAGAATCATTTGATAGCTTCAGCCTGTGTAGTACGACACAAGACACGATAAAATAAATAATCACTCAGTTTCTAATACTTAAACAATTTGGTATCAAGCGCTCATTTTCACAACAACATTGATTAAAGACTCCAAAATGTGGGATCAATTGATTATTAATTCAATGAGAAGAGAATAGTTAATCGATAATTTAGTCTATTCAACAATTACACACTCTTCTTCTGTTTCAATTAAATTTTCGGCTTAGGTAATTAGCAAGGATGTTTATAAGACAAATAAAATATTTGCTATTCATCGCAAATATCTCATCTATTTAAATATGTATTAACTAAGAGCATCAATTTATTCTTATTACTTCTGTGAATTAATTTATGAGTTAGGATATTAGGAGCATAAAAAATGGCATAATTAATTATCTTGAGCTAACGGACTTGATCGCCGTACATGATGGCGATCCATCATCACTGTTTTTATTTGAAGAAGCTGATGCACGTCGTGGTTTTGCCAATGTTGTATTGCAGTCAAAAAATGTTTCTACCTCACTTTCTGTTTCGTTTTGGCGTTCACGGTAGCTCAATCGATCACTTGAATCGGCAGAGCCACAAGAAATACTTTCCGCTGATGCAGCGGCTGAATTTGACGATGTACTCATCGATTGTGGCGTTTGTTGTTGCTGTATTGGTTGCATAATTACTGGTTTTTGATTCATTGGACTATTCATTGACGTAGGATAACGTTTCGAGCACACTTGCGCTTGAATATGTTCACAAATTCGACGGAAGCGACGAATGTTGCCTTGAAAAATTAGCAAGAAAATGAAATAATTATTATTATGAATGTTTTTATCTGTTAAGATGTGTATTGATTCAATGTTATTATACAAATTTTTATAAATGTAATTTATTTAAAATTCAACATAAATATTTTTGCATGTTTAATCTGAGATAAGTATTAAAGATGCAACAATTCAACTTTGATAGAAAGTTATGAGACTTGTGAGATCAGGATGCTAAGAACTATAAGTGAATAAAATCTTTTTAAAGAACGAGCATTATAAAATATTTATATTCACACGCCTACAAATGATACAAAAAGTTATTTTTTTGTAAAATGAAAAAGTAAGCTTATTGTCAACATCGAAATATTGAGAAAAATAATTTAACTCACCAGATAACAATGTGAATGTAATAGCAAATAACAAATCGGCAACATCGCCTTGTTTGCAAATAGGATTGACGTCAACTTGAATGCGTACATAGCGCTGAACCATTGTAGGCCCGGTGCTGCCTCTCTTATACTCAAGTCGAAATGACATAGGCGAGATTACACTATGCGATAATTCAGTCATCTAAACATTTAATTAAATGAGATCAGCACTTTTTCGAAAGAATAGAAAAGAAACTCACAGATAAAAATGCATGTATGAGATGTGCTTTTACTGTTGACAGAGGCTTTCCTTTCACAAGAATTGTAAATGTTTCATCCTTTTCCGTCGCAATTAAATTTCCAAACCACGACTTTTTAGTCAGCTCAGGTGACGAATCAGGCGTAAGATGAACCTCTTCTGTCGAAACTTTAAAAATGAAAGAAGGCATTACAAATCAAACTGATACATTTTTAAAAAATAACATACTTTGCATTTTCCTTCTATGAAAGCGTGGACTGCCAAGGAAGCTATTTTTGATGTTTGTTAATCGTGTTTTCCATAACTGACCGCCACTTGCAGGTCCACCTGGAGCATTGGAGTTTATAGTTGCACTTAAATGTGGAGAGGCTGGTTGAACAATTGCCGATTGAGTCATTTGATCACCCTCACTGAATAAATTTGAAACAATCATTGGACCTGAATTGGCGCGATGATGCACAGGCGATGCAGTACATGATGAAGTCGATGTTATGGACAGATTATTATTGTTGTTGTTAGAATGAGATGAAGATGAATTAGAATGATCCGTTATTTGGGTCTTTGGGCGACCCGAGCTACTGTAAGATGAATGACGTGACGGGGATGATGTGGCAGATGCAGGTGACGATGGACGCAAAATAGCTGCAAATTCATTAATTGTTTGCAAATCATATTCATCAAAATGTTTAATAAGATCGCAATTTGGATACTTACACTTACTCAAAACCTGAGTAGAATTCATGGTGATACCTCTTGTAGGGCTCTGATGATATGAAGATGATGAACGTGTTGATGGTGCAGACGACGGTGATCGACGACTGTAGTTCTTTCCATTGCTTATAAATTAAACAAAATTTGTTATTGTCAAAAAAAAAGAGATCCAATTATTTTACTCACTTAAACGTAGAACGACGCGGTTGAAGCGGCGAACCTTCACTTATTTGACCATAAGTACAATTAGTGTTGCCATTAATTCTACATGTGTCGAGTCGTTTTCGCGGTGGATCCATAACATCAATGACATCCGTTTTTGCACGACTGATTTCTTCTTCATCCTCAACAGCGGGACGTCTTCTCTTGCGATCCAACAGCAAAAAGTAAATAACTTTCTCTGTATTGTGACTGAAGAGAAAATTGTGATAAATTCTAAAGAGATTTTGATGTTTTTTAATTATGAAAACTTACTGTGGACTTAAAAGCTCTTGAATCAATTTCTCCCGATCTTTGAAACATCCCAAAGAACAAATAGAATTTAATATGTCAGTATCAACAGCTGAAATTGACGGTATCACGTGTGTTTGTACGACTTCCATCATTGGCAGTTCAAGTTCCAGTTCACTCTTACCGCCTGCTGTAACCCAAGGATGTCTGTTGATTTCCGATAACTTGAAGGTTGTTGAAAGATATCATTAGATGAAGAAAGAAAACAATCGACATTTGACACTTACGGTAAGTCGTTTTTCAGGATTCACTTCAATCATTCCTCGTAAAAGATTCTGACAATCGGGCGGAACAAAATGGGGTATGTGAAAGACGCCTCGTTTAACTTTTTCTAGCAGCTGTCGCAAGTTGTCATCGTCGAATGGTAAAGCACCAACTAGTAAGGCATACAAGATAACGCCACATGACCAAACATCCGCTCGTCGACCATCATACTTTTCCCCCTGCAATTATTTTTTCGTTTCATTCAAATAATTACAAGAAATTAAAATCTAATCGGCATTGAAAACTAACTCGAATAACTTCAGGACAAGCGTAGTGTGGACTACCACATGATGTTTCCAACATGAACCCCATAGGTTGAAGAGAAGCCATTCCAAAATCGGCTATTTTGATATTATTTTTGTCGTCGAGTAATAAGTTTTCCGGCTATGAATGAAATTAAATAAATGTGACATTCGTGCGATTGATAACTATTTTCTTTCTTACTTTTAAATCACGATGGCAAATCGAGTGAGAATGGCAAAAGTCAAGCGCTGATATAATTTGACGAAAAAATCTTCGTGCTTCTTTAGGTGTCAATCGACCTTTTTTAACTAGATAATCAAAAAGCTCACCACCGGAAACATGCTCGAGTACCAAATATCTATGAAAACAAAAAAAGTAAAATTTAGCATGTTTGAAGTTAAATTGCGTTGACCTTTAAGCTTTGTCACGCTCAGCCTTGGCCTACATTTTTATATGATACACTTACAAGTATTTTTTATTCTCATAAACATCTGACAAGCCTAGAACATGTGGATGATCAATCAATTTCATTATTGCTATTTCTCGTTCAACCTAAAGGTGAGAGTAATAAAAGCTTCTTAGTGACAAACTCATTGACATTGATTGCCTTTGGCAATAAGAAAGAAATTAATTAAGTCGCTACAAGAAGCTTTCGGTCATTTTTACCTTTATCAGTACAGACTCGCTCAACTTCTCTCGATTAATTATTTTAATTGCGACCTTTTTCCCAAGCACGCAGTGTACTCCAAGCTTTACGAGGCCTAAAATTATCAAAAAGGAAAGTAAACAAAGAAAAGGGAAAATGGAATTGAAACGTGTAGATAGGAATATTTATGTTGTGGCTTTGATTTTATTCAAACTGTCCAATCAAATGTTCACTGTGAAAGTTTGAAAGCAAATTATCACAAATTAATTTCCTATGAAATTTCAGTTTGTGATAAAGTTATTTTGAGTATTATTAATACATCAAGAATAAAAATGTAAAATATTTAAAATAAAAAAGCAAAAAAAGGAAAAGAAACCCTCGTAGCAGTTCAATAGTTTCATCTTGACAAATAAAATATATGAACATCATTATATAAGATCTTCAAAGATAAATGGATTCTATTCGAATTCGCTGAGTTTAAAAAAAAGCTCCTACCACCGTTCTCCAGTTTTACTTATTTAACCCTTTAACTAAATGGTAAAGCTAAATGAACTCCACCTTCTCATAAAACAATAAAAAACATTCCAATTTTATGTTAAAATACCGAATGCCAATTTTGGTAGCGCTTCGAGGACATGAAAATAAAAGCTGCAGCGAAAATAAAGATATTTGAAAAGCAAATATGACTGAGAAAATAAGAGAATCGATTATGAAAATATCTGTCCCGAAATTCAAGATACAGAATTTATATTTTGAAAATACGATATTTCTCATGAGTTTTATTTTGGCGTCTGAATATTGGATACATCATGACATAAAATTAAAAGTGCTGGTGTTTAGGACCTCAATCCAAAAGAAATTTTATTATATAATGAAGATTTTTCATTCTTTCCATAAGATAAAAATTTAAAGAATATTTTTCAATTCTTTCCAATTTGAAGAAGAAGATTTTCGTCAAGAAGTTTTTAAGCAGCCTTTTCGAATTCTTTTTATCATTTGAGATAAGATTCATAAGTGGTATTTGAATCACTTTGAAATCTTTTAGAGATTCTATCAGTAGATTTTGTTTCTTTATTTTCGGCAATAACATTTCTTTAAAAATAAAAGTAAGACGAACAGTTGAAGATGAGTTAAATCTTTTAAAGTTGATATACACTAACAAACTGTGTAAGGAAATGAGATTTTTCAAGGAATACCTACAAATAATATTTGAACACATGATCTCTTGTTCGACAAATACATTCCAAATTTTTTTAACATAAATCTTAAATCATCAGATTCTAGAATGAAATGCCAAAAAGTCGATGCAGCGCATATAAATCAACCTTATTGTATAGTCATTTGTCTGTTTTGGCAATATATTTGAAAGCAAAACTTTGTGTCGTTTTTGACAGTAATTGATTTGATTTTTGGCAATGCATCGCAATGGTTCAAAATTCCCAAGCAAAAGTTTCACTGTTTCACAGCAGCTTATCGATCTTCTTAAGAGATGGATCTATTTTATTATTTAGCGATTATTTAGCTCAAATTGACTTTTTCAGAAGGTTTTCGAAGATTTTTTAATAAAAGCAATTGTATACTTTAAGTAAAATAAAGTTGATCAAATCGACTTAAATCAATGGAAGATTGGTGAGATGAATTGTACACTTCTAGTAAAAGTTTTCTTCAAATGATTGGATCTTAGTAGGTGTCAAAGATTGCGTGTTTGAATTGACCTTGTTTGAGGATATGACGCCAAATATAATTACATTCAATAACAACAAAGCAAAAACCATCACAATGAAATCTTAATGCATAATTTTTCTAATTTTCCTAAACTAAATACGCACTTAATTATTTAAATGTCTCGTAGCAAGACAAACTTTGTGAGAAGTTAGGCCCAAGAGTTCATTGTTCACTTCCGTATTGATTTACCCCTCAAAATGTAGCTACAGTCGATATGTTTCAAGTTTTTATATACATGTTCCATGCAGTCATGAAACATTAAAATATGTACTGCACAAATAATCCGAAGAATATAGGCAACTAGGGAAATATATGAATTTGTTATAAATTATACAATAGCCGAGAGTAAGTGGAAAAGGAGAATTGAAAACTTCTCTTAGCTTCTAAGGTAACACGAAAATTTAAAATTCAAATTAGATATAAAATTAATTTTCAACAGGATGTCTTTTAGACGATTTGTTTCACTTTTTCTTCTAGTATCTTATATTGAGAAGCAGCAACAAAGAGTTTATTATTTTAAATGAAAATGATGGCAAAAAAACAAAGCATAGTAAAATGAAATCGAAAAGAGAAATACAAAGAAAATCGATATGACAACACAAAAAAGTATTGAAGCCGAACTCTTATTCTTCTTCTTTTTTGTGGAATTGAAGAATAAGAAATTTTGATTCTGATGAACAATCGACTTAAAAATATCTACTACAGTGTGAGTTTTTTTTGTAATAATCTAATCAAATAGTGATTGAATCATTCCAGTCATAATAAATTTCTATTATGATATGAAAACTTTGAAATTACACGTTCGAAGTTACATAGGATTACTTTTATTAACAATTGATTTAGGTATTTCATAAGAATGCTTTTTGATGTTTTTGAATTAAAGAAGAATAAATAAATAAATTCTAATTTATTTGAAAATGCAATTTACTCGTGATGCATGTCAAGTGAAAAACAAGAAATTCATGTAAATAGGTATCATATGTAAGTTGCTCAAGTAGATAGAAAAAAAGTAGATATTTAAACAAACATTTTATGATAATGTAAGTCAATTTATCAGAAGTCTCTTAATTAATATTTAATACAAATTAGGTAATAAGTTTTAAGCTCGGTTTTAAATATCAACTTTATATCTTTATATATTTAATCAAAATTATAATGTCATGCTGAACTCACCAGTTTGGCCTTTGCCCAAGGTTTTTTCTAATCGGTATGGCCCCACATACTGATAGGTCTCTGATGGTACTTTATTTTCTTTTTGCATTATGTTGACTTGGAGAGTATTCCCTTTGTTTTTGGCTACGTTTTCGTTAGCTTATGAATACTTTAATTTATAAATTCAAATTTTATAAATTATTTGATACTGTGATGCTTTCACTAACACTTTAATTGAATTTGCTTTAATTAAATTGTTTCGCTCGCCCTCTGGAATGAATGCCAAATGTGTTGACATTTAGAATGATTTTCCTTTCTTAATTTAGATATCAATTTGAGGAGCACAATTGCTGGTTGGATAAAATAGTCAAATTTATTTGTTGTTATTTGATGAAAGATGTACACAAATATGAAAATATTTTATAATTATTTTTGTATAATTTAAGGAATGCGGCTTTGTGATGAGACACGAAAAATATACTCAGAATTTAATATTAATAAAACTAAAATTAGTAAAGATATTATTGAGAAACTAACACATGAGTGCAATATTTTAAGAATTTTCATAAAAAGGAAATGTTTCCATCTGGTATCGTGTGAGACAACTTCTGTACAATTTTTTTTCCATTTTTCTTTATTTCAATGTGTTAGTGAGTGTAAGGATTTTTCTTTCCTTTAACTATGATTTCATCGAAATTTGTAACTTTTTATAGCTTTTTCAGATACCTGAACTACAATCAATATTTTATTTCACAAAGCACTTGCATTCATATGTCAAATGAGACACTTTAAATAATATAAAATAAGATCTCAGGTTGTATAAACTCAGTAATTCATTCTAATATTTGCTTGAAATTTTACCATTCTTCTCACAATGAATTTCACAAGCTTTCTTTCCTTTTCTTGGGAAATAATTTATTAAATTCGTCAAATTACACTTGAATCTACACAAAACAATAATGAAACTTAACTTAGAACCATGATAAAACAAAATAAAACCGAAATATATTTGTCCTCCATTTGAAATTCGAATCTAAAAAGGATGGATTTTCCCATTCAATCCGAACTCCAAGGAAAATTTTAAATGACTAAGGATAAGGGGAAATTCTTTGAACTTGTGACGGACACTTTTTGAACTTGTGTTGTAAGTTTTGAACCTTCATCCTGTTTATTTGGTTCAAAATTTCAAATTAGAACTTTGTAACAGATATTTTCAAAATTTGAATATAATCAGTGAATGTCACGGAAATTATAAAAGCTGATTTTAGTGCCATCTTTCGGCATTTTTTTATAGATGAGTGCGTTTACTAATTCAATAAGTGTGTTCCAACGGATGATTTAAAATTTCGATCTTCTTACGCAAAAAACTTAAATTTATTGCAAAATTGTACCCATTAGGCATACTTTAAACTTTCAGTTAATATTCTTGATCTTATACAAACATTTTTTATCGAAAAAACGTTGTTCAGGTAATATATTTTTTGTTATAAATAAATAGATGATTGGCATCAATTTTCGATTCTTTTGTCTTTAATAAAATAACTTTTGTGCATCTTTTATTAATAGTTAATTCTCAAAACATGTCTGAAAATCCATCAACTCGAATAAATTCGTATAAAAACAATTCAAAGAGTTCTCAAGTAAGTTTTTCTGTGTATTATCATTTTTATTATATCGTAACTGATTGTTCTGGATCATCTCAGGAAATGCGGCAACGACGACAAGAAGTTTCTATTGAATTGCGCAAGGCGAAAAGAGATGATCAATTACAAAAGCGACGAAATATTGAAACTGTTGAGCCGACTTCACCTTTGCAAGAAAATAATGGGCAGTCTCCAATTATTAATTTATCTATTGATGAAATAACAGGCAATATTAAACATAGCAATCCAACGCTACAATTTCAAGCAGTTCAGGCTGTGCGAAAAATGCTTAGTCGGGAAAAAAATCCTCCTATAGACACTATCATTGGTTTAGGGTTTGTACCAACCCTAATCAACTATCTTGGTGATTTTGAAAAGTAAGAAGATATTAAAGAATTTCAACAAATCAACATCAAATGATTAATAAATTTAATGATAATTTCAGTCAAGCAATCCAATTTGAAGCTGCATGGGCATTAACAAATATTGCTTCAGGCACATCAGAGCAAACAAAAGCAGTAATAAGTGCTGGAGCTATTCCAAAATTTATTGCTTTGCTTTGCTCTCCGGTTCCGAATGTTGCTGAGCAAGCCGTTTGGGCTCTAGGGAATGTTGCTGGGGATGGACCGGAGGCTCGGGATATTGTTTTGGCAAATGGAGTTGTTGAATGTTTGCTTCAATTAATAAGATCTGATACTTTGGAATTGTCATTTTTACGTAATATTGTTTGGCTGATGTCTAACTTGTGTCGAAATAAGAATCCAACTCCATCATTTGATAAAGTTAAGCTTTTACTGCCAGCTCTTGCCAATCTTTTAGATCATAACGATAAAATGATTCTCTCTGATGTCTGTTGGGCATTATCATATGTCACCGATGATACGACTGAAAAAATCCAGGCTGTTGTTGATTCTGGTTGTATTCCTCGCTTAGTTTGGCTTCTTGGATGTGATGATCCTGCTATTGTCACACCAGCATTACGTTCTGTTGGTAATATTGTCACTGGTGATGACACACAAACTGACATTGTCTTGAAATGCAATGTTTTGGCATGCTTAGAAAATCTCTTCAATCACAAAAAGAGTAACATCATTAAGGAAGCTGCATGGACAGTAAGCAACATTACAGGTGAGAGTATTTGTATCATTGGCTTTAATTGAATAATGTATGAAATTTCTTAATTTATTTGTAGCTGGCAATCAACATCAAATTCAGCAAGTGATTGAATCAGATATATTATCATCAATTCTGCATGTTCTTCGTTGTGGGGATTTTAAAGCACAACGTGAAGCTGTTTGGGCAGTTACAAACATCACTAGTGGTGGTACAAGTGCTCAAATAATTCAAATGATTGAGAAATATCCAGTCATTAAACCTTACACTGATCTTTTGCTTTCCAAAGATGCTCGAACAGTTGTCGTCGTACTCAATGGACTCCAAGCTTTGTTTCGTGTTGCTGAAGCAGCCAATGGATTAAAGAATTTCTGTATAATGCTTGAAGAACTTGGTGTAGTTGACAAACTTGAAGCTTTACAGACACACGAAAATCAAGAAATTTATGAAAAATCCTACAAAATTATCGAAGCATATTTTTCTGATGGCGATGATGAGGATGAAAAGAAGTTGGCACCAAAAGTTAATGCTGATTCTCTTGAATTCAGCTCTCACTCTGGTGGTGCTGGTAGTGGAAACAACTTCAATTTTTAAACTTTTAAGTTTGTTGCTTATTCAAAAATCATTGCTAATTTTTTCCTAATTCAATTTATATCAAAAATTTCAATTAGATATGATCCTTAATCATGCCTACCTTCAGTGAATCAAATAAATAATATGTTGAGTTGTTATGAATAAATAATAAATTCAGCAATAACTAGATATTCTAAGTACAAATTTATATAAAATTCCAGCATTTATCGCCTGCAGAGAAAAGGGAATTAACTGGAAAGTTACAATCAAAAGTTTGTTTAAAATTTTTGATTCTTCTATATTTGTTTCTTATACCTAGGTAGACATCAATTTATTCATATTTATTTTTGCTTCAATTTTCCTTTACAATTTATCTCTCAAAAGTAAACATTTTATTCAAAGTATCTCTAGTTGTATTTCTCTTCTTTATTTATTTAGTTGAGAAGGGAGTGAAAAGTATAATTGATGTCTTCGAAGTAGATATTTATTAAGTAGTTGAAAATACAAACTAAGTTTCAGATTGTATTCTTTGAAGGAAATGTTTCATCTACTTTAATTAACCTTATGAATAATAATTTTTTAAATTTCAAAAGAAACATTTTAAATCATATTTCACGACCAATCTGTTCTACAGTCTTTAGTACTCTCTTTTTCTTTCCCAATCTAACAAGAAGGGAGTTAATTGCAACATGTACAGAACCTGAAACGAAAGTTATTCATGTCACTTTCATGTGATGATAGGATTTAAAGTACTTTAGAACACTTTTTATTAAAGTTTCTTTGAAACTTTACGCAAGCAAAGAAACCTTCAGCACACCAATTTCTTGTATTTTATCTTTGGTTACACGAAAAGGCATTGGTTTTTTGTACCACATCTAGGTAGCATTTAAACTCTAGATTCATTGCAATTTACATCAGGATACTTTCAAAGACCGAATACAGTTTAATAAAGAGCTGCTGAGAATTTACTCCCATATTCATGGAATGAAACTTGAGATATTTGAAGGTGAACAAGAAATATTAAAATTTAATAGTGCGATGTGATATTTTTTATAGAAAATGGAACCAATCATAAATTCAAATAAATATTCATGACCTGAGTTAGAAAAACATTTCATGGAATTTTTTTTTAAATTTCTAGATTTCAATTATAAAGAAATGATGATGATGGGTGAACACGATTCGAATTTAAGAAAGTTTGATGATGAATTGTTATTAATTAATTTTTGAATAATTTCTAACATCAGGAGAATCTCATATAACTTATAAAAAGATTCGTGAATTGAGTGTATTCGAAAGTGGTTGCAATACTTATTTGTTAATTTTTTGTTATTATCAAATTTATTTCATTCTAAGTTAGATACCAATTTCATGATGAAGTGCAAGATCGCTGAATGTTAAACACCTCAGTGCTAACAAAACTTAGCTTCTTTTCAATTAAAAGGTTTTTCTTCAAAAATTATCTGAAACAAAATGTGATTTAAATAGAAGTTTTTTTAAAGAATTCCATTCAACTCGATTTTTGTTCTGTTACATTTTACAAAGCTGCCTTTTCGGTTCTATAGGATCGGGAAATTTGATGTTCATGTTGATGGAAAATTTCTCATTTAGTTTTCAATCTTAATTTGTTTTACCTTTTCTTTGTTTTTGAGACAAAGAAAAAGAAAAACTGTTCTTCAATTTGGTTTTACAGTGCCCGTTTTTCTCATCAACTTTACGAAATGTTCTCAATTTGTTTTCTTTGCTAAGTGAATGTTCTCAATTTTCATCGTCTCCCCGTCCCACATTTTCGCTCATCTCAAAATCAAATAAAAGAAAGGAAAGTTTTCTTCTGCTGATGATCAGGTTTCATACGTATGAATCAATTGAATGTCAGAACCTTAATCTTAATATGAAGCTCCAGGAGAATTATTTAAGCTGCCTTTTGTTTACAAATACCCTCAATACGATTCATTGTATTTCCAAAACCTCTCTTCTGGGACAATGAAAAATTTGATACAAACGAAATTAGCTTTCAAAGGGGCATGAAGTTAAATTTCACGAGTTATTGTATTGAAAGTAATGAAAAAAAAAGTTCCATCAAGAAAAAGGCGTTATTATATGAAGAAGCCCCTTTTTTCCTTATTTTATTTTACTTTACTTTATCTTGTTTTTCCCTTCAGCCTTAAATTTTATTTAATAATTTCATCTTAGCTCCTGATGAATCGCTAAGACAAATCGTTTCTTTTAAGATGAGAGATGAAATTTTCTTCATCACAATTTTATTTAATAATTTAAAGGAAATGTGTTGAATTGGGTCTTTGTGAAGAAATTTTGTTTTCTTTTTAAAATATTTAAATTGTTTAAAAAAGTTAGGTTTTCAACATTGTTAAATTATATATTTTTAAGGAAAACTAAACTTTATGAACTTACATGAACCGTGTGCATATCATTGATTAAATATTCTTTTAATTGTATTTTTATTGCTTTTGTGTGATATTTTCAATAAAAACTTCAAAAATTTAGTTTAAAGCAGTTCTATTTTCTTGAATTAAATTACATAATAAAATCTCGAAAGCAATTTAAAGTAGAAAAAGATGTATTTAGGATGAAACTCATTTTTTTATAAGATTGCCTGAAGTTTTTTCTCACTTGCATTTCATCGATTTTCATGAACTCTTGTTTGTGTAGTTGTTGCATATGAAAAAATAAAAAGGAAAAAATGCTTTGAAATTTAAAAACTTCATTTCGCCAGCTTCGTCTGTTCAAATTTAAAAAGTTTTTCCTTTTTCTTATTAGGTATCTACTTATTTTTATTAGTGAAGGATCGCTTTTTTTAAACTAAGTTATAAATTATAACCAGAACCAACAGATTTTTGTTCAAAAGGAAAATAGCCAATCATTAATAGACAGTTTCACATTTTAAGTGTATCTAGTTAATTGTTACTATTCACAGTATACTAAAAACCGTTCTATTAATAAAAAAGGAAAATAAGACAGATGCTCCTATTGAAAGTTTGTTTAAATAAAAAATTATTTTGTGGGAAAAAATCTTTGTGTCAAAACTTATTAGAAATATCCAAGAAAATTAAAAAGAAAGCTTTAATATGCAATTGATATACAACATAAAATAGATAATTCTCACATAAAAAAATGAAAATTGTTGAACAAATTTTTATAGATAATCGATAAAATTAAGTTAAACTATCACTTTTTTCAAAACTAGTTCGTCCTTATTCAACAATCAGCAAACAACAATCAATTGACCAAGAAGAAAGAGAATTGACTTACTCTTTACAGTTTCTTCGGTTTTTAGGAAAGTAGAGAAAAATTGTCTATCAATCATTGAAAGTATGATACTTGAAAGTTTCTCAGGAATTATTGACTTTTGATTTATTTCCCCACAGAAGCTGAAATGGTAAAAGAAGAAAATTTTATGAAATGTTCCGAAATGCTACTTATAACTTATCCGTCAAGTTCATTTAAGTATTTCCAAAATTGCGAACATCAAAGTGTTCTTGTACACAAATCAAGGCAATAGTTATTTTCTGAATGGCAATTCTTCTTCCCAAAGATTTTTCATAACAAAATATTTATGTAAATCTATTTATGCGAGAATCAACTGAACATTAAATTATGACAAAGTATCTAACAAAGTCCTTACGTTTTTTCACCATGGTCTTATACATAGATAAGTTAAACTTCTTAATGTTCATTGGAATTTTTAGAATTCATTAAAAATTTTAGATATGAAAAACATCAAAGCTTGTTTTCAATTTTTTCGTTAAAAATAAATATACAGGCATATGATTTTTGAGCTCACAAATCTACCTAATAGAATTGTACCTATGTATGAATTTTAAATAAAAATAAGTATCTAGCTCTCAAATAAAAGTATCATGAAATGATTATTCGATTACTCGGTTAATCGGAGCTTTCAAAAATTCATTTGAAACTTAAAATAGATATGTAAACATCAAAGCTTGTTTTCAATTTTGTCGTTAAAAATAAATATACAGGCATATGATTTTTGAGCTCACAAATCTACCTAATAGAATTGTA